TTTCCAAATGAAAAAAAAAACGTGACAAGCAAATGGAGTCATGAAGATGTTGATAAGTTAAAGCATGCAGTTAATCAGCATGGAGAAAATTGGGAATTGATTTCTCGTGACGTTTTTAATGGTTATAAGAACAAAAATGGGTTGTTATGGAAATGGAATTTAATCAAAAATCAATATCAAGGTGACAATACTCAGAAAGTAAGAACATTAAAACCTCGACAAGAAATAACGAATAAGGATCAATTGGCTCGTGAATTGGGTCGACAACTCAATCTGCATTGTTCGAATCTTGTAGAATTATTCGGACAGCGAGCTATATCGATCGAAACATATTTTAATGGGCAATCAGGATTCCCTTGGACTGAAGAAGAAAACTCTACACTGTTTGGTGCCATAAAAGAATTTGGTACTAAAAATTGGGAAAAAATTTTAGAACGTTTGCCAGGAAGATCATTGGAAAATATTCAAGAGAGGTGTTCTAGCACCTTATGGGAACCACAAGAAGTGGAAGCCTTTAATAAAGCTTATGAGCTACACGGTAGTGATTGGAGTAAGATTAGTGGGCTTGTTGGTACGAGATCTCCTGGTCAATGTTGGTCATATTGGAGAATTACTACCGGTAATGATCTATTGAAACCTCATTCTGGAAATCGTAAACCTGGTATGTTATTAAATTATCTGAACTTTATTATTATTATAAAAAGGTTAAGTAAGTATTAATATGATTTATTATTTACATTCTATCTTAAGGATTTTACCATGCAAATGTTTTCCTTCAATTTTCAAACAAAGAAATTTCACAGATGTCTTTTATACGTAATGATATTGAAGAAGATTTCATGCCTGAATGATTAGGAAAGAATGTTCGAATTGACTTTAACACAAAAGATAAACCCAATGAATGAATTTGTATCTTTATATATTTGCTATTCGCACTGTGAAAAGTAATCTTATTCTTTATCAAACTGCTTCTTTAAATAAACATACTTTTGAAAATGCGTAAATTAATATTTATAACATTTATTAAATTATTTCAACTCTTCTTAGCTGATATATTTATGACTTGAATTTTTTCCTCCCACGTGACCGCATTTTTTGCAGAAGGGTTTCTTGTATTTTTAAACTAAGTATCACGTGATAAACAAAGGTTAAGAGCCTATACAGAACAGGATAAATATACCCTTTGTAGAACGTTATTCCTGATTTTTACATAATGCTGACCAAAAAATTATGTAAAATAAAAGCCAGAAAATATCAGAAGTCAAAGTTTAAGTTTAACTAATAGTAAAAAGTTGTTAATAAATAACAAAATAGATTACTGTATTTTATAAAAATAATATATATAACATTAATTAAAATAATATTGTTTTATTAATATTAAAATAGCTAAAGAAAGGTTTGTTAAATTATAAAAAAAAAATTTAATAAAAACTATTAATATTTATTAATAGATATTTTTAAAAAAATAATAAGTTAATAAAATAAATTTTACTTAAAATTATAATACAATGTAAATCTCTATAATAGGAACTTAAAAAATATTAATAAAATTTAATCTACTAATTAGATTTTAATCAAATAAAAAAATTGATTTATATTTATAAAAATAAATTGATTTATAAAAATAAATTTTTTTTCAATTTAAAAATTATATAAGTATTGTGTATAAGGTTGCTAGACAAAACTTAAAGGTTTTACAAGTTGTCTAAATGAAAAAAAAATAAAATTTAGTGAAATTATATTAAACTTTATTAAAAAATCTGTGAAATTCTGAAAAAGATAAAACTATATCAAAGTTTATAGAAATG